ATAAGGTGTTAAAATGGTCTCAAACAATGATTATCAAGAAAGGGATATTGATGATATGAGATAAGATTTGCATGTGTACTGCATCATACTTTTACGAAGTATTGTTGAACTCACAAGTATGAGTTCCTGTGATTAATGGGATGATGGACACATAAGAATTTTAGAGAACATTGCCATACCCACCGAGAACCATTTGATAAGTTATTTTCATGTATCTATGGAATTATCAACATATAGAGTAGTGTAATATTCCTCCGACTTGAGGTCAATACGTACTTCATGTGTTTTAGAGTGAGTGCATCACCCCAATCGGGTGCATCACAAGCACATGAAGTAGTAATTGAGCCAAGAAATGATTCATTTCTCATAATAGATTAATATAGAACATTGTACTTCTCATATCTAGATGGATTATAAAGTTATTGGTCAATGCAAAGATATATTCGTTTTGTATATAAATATGATCGTTATTAGAATAGACACAATATCAAATTCTAGTTGAATGTTCGTTGAATGAAAGGATCGTATCACTATGAACTCGATATTACAGGGAGTTTGAATAGTTCTTGCAAACATGCTTATATATTAAGTTTGTTTGGACAATCTTCTAGGGATTCCCTATGATTTTAATTTGATTAGTGCTTATTATATAAGGCCCTATGAGTCACACAACAAAAGATTATACCTTTTGATCGAATTGTTAATTAGAAGGAATTAAATATTAATTTAATTAAATAATATTTAATTCGTGATACTGGAAATGAATTAAATATTAATTAGATTAAACATATGGAAAATGGAAATTAATAATCCAATCTTTTAGCGATCTTCTTACAATAATCCCACCTTATCGTAATTTAGGAATAATCCAACCTTTTCACCTCATCTTCATTAACTGATCCTTGACCGGTTGATAACCTGCTATTCCAGGTTTTTTCATTTTCTTTGCAAATCATTCAACCATAAATCACCTTCTACAAATCTTCTCAAAACGGTCCCACATATGATTTTTGTTCCATTTTATTTATATGATTTGTTCCATTCTATTTTATTGTGCTATCAAATGTATCTGGTCTAAGACTGAAACCAATTTAAGCGAAAACATCCTCAAATCGCTAGTCAAACCAGCAGACTGAATCACTATCAACTTTCCGCCAATTGATCCCGCTATTCGGTAAATGCCAAACAGAGGACTGCATGTACACGTTTTTCAACATTGCTTTGTGTACAAGTTCAAAATGTCTAGGTCACAGACCAATTTGATTAATTTTTAAGACAAATCGCCTATATGAAAACATAAAAGTTTGTGATCCAATTTTGTCGGTATCACAAACAATTTGTGATTACATGGCCAATTTGGATGTGTACACACAACTTTCTAATTCTAGACGGGCATTTGATTAGTAGTAATTGTTTTTATTTTAGTTTTAGTAGATTTGGTTTTGAAATTTGGACTTCTGGCATATGTTTGATAGACAGTGTTTCAGTCTCGATTGTTTTATGCTTTAAATTGCTCGTTTCTTGTCTAGCGAATCAGGTTGCTTTGTATGAGGTGACTGATTCTATGTCTATTCGAATGCTCACAATCAGATCAGTCATAAATGTTTGAATGTTATCTTGTATTTTTTCTCGATTTTATTATGAAAGTCGATCCTGTATATTCAAAAAAAGAAAATTCTAGACGTGCACACACACAACTTTCTAATTATAGACGTGTCCACACACAACTTTCTATTTTTTTTATGAACTGTAAGTATATATAAATGAATCATCCAAAAGAGTTTAACTGTACATCAAAAGGGTGAGCAAAAATGCGGGCTATCCAAAGATTGGATAACTCGTCACCTCAAAACCAAGATGCTATCTAAGCAACTATGCTACTTGGCAACCAATCACAAACAAAAAATAGGTGATGGGCATAATGTTATCAAAAATCAAATAAATCATATGGATAGATGTTATACAAAACTTTGTTTACAATGTACTTTATCCTGGCAAAAACATCCTCTTTCTTAGGAGAGAAACCATCAAATCTAGATGCATTTCTGATCCTCCAAATCCAGTATATGGAGTAACAAAGTGCAATCCAAGCTGCCTTAGTTTGTATTCCAGCTCCCCTTCTTTTTTCTTTATCCATTTCACCGCGCTAGCCAATGTTCCCATGTTTCGTAGTATACACATCCAGTCTTTCATAATGCTCCAAACTTTACTTGAAAATGGACATTCAAAGTATAGGTGTGGAACCAATTCGGGTCCACCCTTGCACAATACACAAATGTTAACTACATCCAATCTATGAAGATTATCACATGTAGCTAGCCTATTTCGGAATGTCATCAAGTAGTAAAGGAAAACTTGGGGGATATAATCTTTCCAAATAAAGGACATCCACCTACGAGAAGGTGCCTTAGTTCTATGCAAATTATATACCTTTGAGGATACTAGTTTTCCATTGGATTGGAATGAATTTAATAGTACTTACAAGAGCAATAGTTTTCCATTGGATTGGATACTAGTAACATCATCAAGTTTAGACAAAATTTCATCACACACAATAGCAATCTTCTTAATCAATCGTGAGTCCCTGCTACGGTGTGGGACAACTTTCTATTTCATATAAATTGTAATCAACTTCATGTTTTTGCACCCACTTTGCGATTCCAATATTTTCTTTCCCAATTGTAATCATAATTTTGGAGAGGTATCCCTTTCATTCCCTTGGTAGGAAATGAAATACAAAAATGTACTCCGGTACCATCACGCTCTGATATGAAATACGAAGTAATTTCTTGGTCATTGTAATTTGTAAAAAAAAAAGTTTTAATGTTTACACATCTTTAATATTTTACTAATTCCTGTCCAAATCTCATATCCAAACTGCTTTAATTTGAATCGTGCTTTTTAATAATTGTGCCAATTAATTCATACAAGAAGTGCTATTTGGGAGATTAAAATTTTGTGTAGGGAAATATTGATGTTTCATACATAATAGGAGAAATGTAACTTTGCACCTCATTTTTTGATGATATCATACTTTGCACCTCATTTTCAAATTTTTTTGATTTTGTACCCCATTTCTCTTAAAAATCTTTTGACTTTGCACCCAAAAAGTTTTTTCAAAATAGAGTGCAAAGTCCAATATCACCAAAAAGTGGGGAGCAAAGTAAAATTTCCCATTTCATAATAACGCAGCTCTACGATATGGGCAGATGGATAATACTACCTCCTCCCTGAACTATCTTGTAAATGAGATTTTGCACATGGACTAAAAAAGTGAGAATATTGTGACGTAGAGTTATGCAAAGTAGAGAAAAATATGTGAGATTATGCATTTACAATTGCAATTCTCCATCATCATTTTTACTTATACAACACTCTTACTCCCAGGGGTGGAGACCGGTGGCTAGTAAGGATCTCCGTCCCTCCAACAAAAAATTTGAGATGTATATACATATGTATAAGTATTTATAACACTAAAAGTTATAGTGAAGTTTTAAGCTTAGCCTTCCCAATATAAATCCTTCATGCCTCGACCCCCTAATCTGACATTTCTGACTCCACCACCGATACTCCGTATTTGATGAATTGATGGATGTAGTAGTCATATGTTTGTTAGAGTTCTTAGCAAGTACTCCCTCTGTCCTGCTAAGATTATCTCATTTTACCTTTTCAGAAAATTCCACTAAGATGGTCTCATACCATATTTGGTAAAGTTTGTATGCCTCTTAATCATTCTTACTTTATTCTTAGTTTATCAATTAAATATCAACCACATAAACCCACTTTTCTTAATAATCGTGTCACCTTCTACCGTCACAATTATAATTATTCATCGCTCTCTAAATTAAGTTCTGGGTTGACTTCACACATATTAAGAAGAATCGATCTACCGGAGAGTAAATTTTATTTTAGAGTATACTCTTGTAATATTGTTTGACACTGTATTACACTGTTTTGCATTGTTTAACACCATTTAATATAGATTTGTTTACCAAATAAGAAAGTGAGACTTTAATTTATGGACATCCCAAAAAGGAAAGAGAAACTTTGATTTAGGGATGAAGAAAGTACATTTTATATAGAGTACATGTTATATGATAAATAAAGTGTGCAAAAGAGGAAAGTGATGAATGTGAATATTATATCATGAGATACTTGTGGAAAATAATATCACTTTTTGGAAATTCTGATATCGCAAAGGCAATAATAAGTTGTGTGTTCACTAAATTCTTATTTTTATTAATGTATTTAATGTAGTGCAATTAAATCGTTATAAATTTGAATTGATTATTACTTACGTAGTATTTTGCATAAACTTTTTTGGACGGTTTGGATTTCAAGAAGTGAACCATATGCATCAGTATAATTCAATAGTAATATCATAACTATATGATCATTTTATAAAATCCGGTAGACAAACCATCAAAATCAGTGAACAAATGTTGGGGAACATTTGTCAGAATTTTATTAGAAATCAAACTGAAAGATACAATGGAGAGAGGGAACAGACCAAAACTTCTCCAAAGAGGCATACCTCTTTGAAATACATGACGAAAAGTACATGAATAAAAATAAATGAGAGATGACTTTTTTGGGGGGGCTATACCTGACCCAAAAAATAGAAACGGAAAACTAGAAACGAAAATGAGGAAAACCATATGAATCATCATAGGGGGTGTTTGAAACTGATTCTGATTCTGCTTCTTTTTTAAAGTAAAAGCAGAATCAGAATCAGTTTTCAGAAATTGATCACCCCCAGCTTCTAAAAAAACTGATTCTAGGAGTAAATTAGAGCAACAGAATCACTTCTGCACTTTTACCCAAATCCAAACACCCCATAATAGCTATTCTTAACCTCATGAGGCAAAGAGTCCACTTGGTCAAAAAAGAGAATTTGGGTTAAAATGATCCGCTGACCTGCCAAGAAGTGGGCTGGGCCATTTCCCTCTCGAAAGACATGACCAAAAGATAAGTCCGCTCCAACCGCCTTTCTCCTGAATGTCTGAATCTCACCAAACCCTCCTGAAACATCATCCGCGAGAAGTGATAAGCAACGAGCCGCATCCGTTTCCACCTGAAGGTCAACAATCCCTGTCTTCATCGCCATCTCAGAAGAAAACACCAAAGCTCTCAACTCCGCCTCCTCACTCGAGTCAGCCTGTATCTTGAAGCAGGTGGCCCAAACGAACTCACCAGACTGATCTCGTAGAATTGCACCTCCTGTTTCCGAACTGGGTAAGAACAAAGCGTCTACGTTCAATTTATATTTTTTCTTAGGCCTCTTCCATTTAATTATCTAACATCCAGTTTTAAGAAACCTAAAATTGGTCGGAATCAGATGCTCTTGAATGAGATATCCTTCAATCTTCCTCGTTTTGATTTTGGCCAACCTGTAAGCCCATTTCTGTGTATAATGATTAATTTGGTAAATAAGATGCTCTGAATCCGGAATACCACCTGAACCCCACGTATAGGAAGAATAAATCTTCCATATATGCCAACATATAATTCCCGGGATTATGTTTAAAGATGCCTGATAAAGTTTTAGAACCCGCCTATTTCCACCAAAGGATTATATGATCAATATATTTTATAGATTTAATTATGCAAATGTAAGCAACAACTAATTGTAGTGCATGTATTTTGACTACTATTGAGACCACCATGAGTGTTTCTATTTTGTTTCATTTGAATGGATGTTTGAAAAAAGAAAGAATTGCCCTAAATGAGACTAAGATGGTTAAAATTCCAAAATAGGACTATAAGTTTATTATTCCCAAAATAGGACTCCCAATTACTTTTTTACCCTTCTTATAATTAAACCCCAAAATAAGCTACAACTCAGTCCAAGCAAGCACTGGATCCAAGCAGCGGAGACTTGCAAACAAGTCTTATTGCCATAGCCGCCGCTCGTCAGTATCACAGCCATAGCCACACTGATTTTTCCCATGGAACCAAGTAATTTCTCTTCTATTCTCTTCTCCATCTCTCTTCTACTCTCTTCTTCTTCTTATTCTTCTTCATCATCGACTCTTCTTCTTCTTCTTTTGCTTCTTCTTCATCCTAGTTCTCTGCTTTTTTTTTTTTAGTTTTTTATCAACAAATTTTAAATAAAATTTTGAATTTTGAAAGTTTTCAAATGAAGATATATCTGAACTTGAATTTCTTGTTATCAATTTTGATAAATTTGAATCTCAAAATGCCGTTACTACTGATTCCAGAAAGTGACACTTTTTGAATAAGAGAATGTCATAATTATTGGATATTTTTAAAAAATGTCACTTTTATGTCATTACAATATTTGAAAATGTCATATTGAGAATGTCATGTTTCTATACGAAATTGTCATTATTGTGTCATTATTGGTCATTTTTAAAAAGTATCACTACTATGTCATTACAGTATTTGAAAATGTCATATTGAAAATGTCATGTTTCTATACGAAACTGTTATTATTGTATCATTATGCATATTAAGTGTCATTCTCACATATGAAGTGGCATTCCTCATGGAGGTCTGCACAGACTCACTGGAGGGCAGACCTTTGTTGGAGAATGATGACAGTGTACTCTCCGAGGGGCGGCGATGGTGTAAAACTTGATGGATGGTGGCAGAGGCACCATTAGCGGAGGTGTCGACCTCTTGGAGGCAGCCTGCGCAATGGCACACGGAAACCTGCACATCAAAGGGGAACGTCATCTGCGCAACACAGACCCCTGCATCGACACACGACTAAGGGTATTTTTGTCAGATTAGATCTTTTTAGTCCTATTTTTAGCCAATAAAACATAGTAGTCTTATTTTTGCAATTACACATTCTTTTAGTCTTATTTAGGGAATTCTCTCTTGAAAAAAATGATATTGTTGTAGCAGTAAAGTCGTGTGTCTCAAAATAAATTTCAACACTTACACACTAGCTTAGCTAATTTCGTAGTATAGCGAAGTAGAGTTCATATCCACAAGGAAATAAAATTTTCTTCATGTGAAATTGTTTTTTTTTAAGTTTGTATGACTTGAGAATATTAAAAACACTAGAATGAGTATGGAAAAATTAATACTCAAGAAGAGAAGTTTAAGAAAATAACTCTCATCTTTAACATTCAACTAGTTTCAAGATAGAAAAATCAAAATAAAAGATTTTAACTTCTCATTTGGAGTCTAAACATGTTTGAAATACAAGGGAAAATACTAATATAAGCTGAGCTTTATGATATGAAAGAATGGGAGGGAAAGTGGTGCTTTTATAGGAGATTTGGGGCTACTGGGATGGATATATGACAAAATATGATTATTTTGCATTCTCTTGCTTTTATTTTGGATGAAATTTACATTCTCTTGCTTACTTTGATCTTGTATATCTTCAGATTGAATCATGCCCGACTGGCAGTTTGATCAAATCAGTTTTTTTTTGCATAATATTTTGCTCCCTTCCCTTTGATATTGTAGCATTCAAGGTAGTCAAAGTTGAAAGACGCACTCAAGGCGCTAGAGTATTTATATCGCCTGAGGTGCAAGACAAAAAATCGCTCGCACTATTTAGAAAATATTATTTATACTATTCTAGAGTGATCAAATGTGAAATATTCAACATCATATTGAACTAATTAAATGCATTAAAAAGACATGTTTCTCAATTCTCTTTAACAAAGTCACAACCCACAAAAATAAAGTCATTGCATGGTTCACTAAAACAAAACACCGAGTAGGGTCTGTTTTAGCTGATTTTGCAGTTTGAGGACTAGGGGGTAGCATAAAATGTGTAGTGTATGAAACTATTAACTAAGTTAGATTATATGAAGTTTTATACAATTAAAATATGAAATGATAATAAGAAGATATAGAGTTAACTGTATAATAAGATGAAGGAGAACTAGAAAGTATAGAAAATATATGAAGCAAAGAGAACTATAAAGTGTATAAATGTATAATAATATATAAGAAACAAAGAGAACTCTAAAGTATGCATAGTCAGATAAATGTAGAACTATAAAGTGTGCATAGTCAGATAAATGTAATATGCCTGAGCTGTATAGAATATATATAAGCAAAGAGAGCTATAAAAGTAAAGGAAAAAGATAAACTGAAAGAATAAAAAGAAGGGAAAACTGTCGATTACACCCTCGTACTATGGGCGAATCCTCAATTGAGTCCTCCTACTTCGACAACATTCAATTGAATCCGCCAAGTCTCCAAAATCAATCAATTAGGTCTACATTACCGGTTGGTTCCCGGTTTGCCGGTTGCTTGCCTTCAATTGATCTAGCTAGGTTTTTTACTGTTTTTTGATTTTTTTTTAATTTTTTTTCTTCTCTTTTCTTTTTTCTTTTTCTCTTCCTCTTCTCTTTCTTTCGTTCTTCCTGGCCGGTTCCTCTTCTGCCGCCCAGCCTCCATAGCCACGTCGATTCCACTGGAACGGATTCCGCTGCTCCGGCCTCTCTAGCCACCAACTCTGCCGCCCAGCCTCCATAGCCACGTCTCCAAAGTTCGGCCTCAACCGCCATACACACCACACCGCCTCCGGCCACCACCTGTGTGGCTTCCCCTTCGAACCCACCATCAACTTCGATTTCTGCACCAGCTTCATCCCAGATATCTCCCCGGCGGACGAGCTCTTCGCCGACGGCAAGATCCTTCCCGTTCAAATCAAGAAACCCGCCGCGCCCTTCGCAGATTCCAAATCCCGGCAGCCCAAGATCGCAAATACCGACGACAACAAGAAGACGTTGAAGGAGTTCTTGTCTGCAAATCCTGAGCCGGAGCTGGAACCGGGAACTCCCGCGTCGCCGGCGAAGCACTTTTGGCAATTCGGGCGGAGCAGCAGTCTGAACTGCGATACCCGCCGAGGGAACAGCCTAGTCCGGTCGCTGCAGTTCCTATCTAGAAGCAATTCCACCGGTTCCGCCCCAAACGACAAGCCCTCTGCTCCGCCGCCGCAGGCAGAGGCCGCCCGGAAGCAGAGATCCAGACCGGAGCCGTTCCTATCGCGTTCAGTTTCGTCAGTACTATTCAACACTCATAGACATGACCATTTGATGCCATCAAAGAAGACCATGAACAACCCATTGAAGAAGAGCTGTAGCTTCAGATCTTCTGGGTATGAAGTTAGAGTCAATTACCGGTAAACCGGGAACAAACCGGTAATGTAGACCTAATTGATTGATTTTGGAGACTTGGCGGATTCAATTGAAGGTTGTCGAAGTAGGAGGACTCAATTGAGGATTCGCCCATAGTACGAGGGTGTAATTGACAGTTTTCCCTAAAAAGAAAGGATCGAAGATGACAAAATAAATGAAGACTACAAACTGAAAAAGAAAGAAGAAAGAACATGAGATGAGAAGATGATGATGAAAATGATACCTTATGGGTTGCTGGGTTCTGTAGATACCAAGACAAATTATTGATGTTTTTATCATGAATTTTTATGAGAAGATACTATCTGGACCATTTGTTGTTTTTATAAAAAGACCATTTGTGAGAATGATTTAATCGATTATCGATAAGGTATCAAAGATAGGACAAGTATGAAGATACTAATTCATCTTTAGATTAATTACGAAAGCCTTTTTAAGTTTTTATGCTAAGATACTATCTGGACCATTTGTTGTTTTTATGCGAGATGAAAGTATTTGAAAAAATAGGACCATGGTGGTGAACTGGTGTCTAACTTCCTCATAGGCAAAAGATTAGGAAAACAATCTTGACTCCGATCATTAGGATTTCGTATCAGATCATTATAACGAGGCATAGTTATTATGTTTTCTCCTTCGTCATTATATTGATCCAACATAATCCGCTCCATGTATGAAAATAAAGTACTAGAGGCTTTTCAAGAGATCATGCACCCTTTATATCTACTATGCATAAAATTTATCCAAAGATATTTGTTGAGTTTAAAAGCCAAAGAGTTTGAAGGATCAATCCATGTGAATGTCCTGAGAGGACCTTGTACCCAATTTTCCTTTAGGTAAACACAACCAGGGGCGGAGCCACCCTTTGAGGTGGTGGTGTCAATTGACACCACTGAATTTTTTCCCCCATATATAGGTATATAATTTTTGTTTAAAAATTTAAATTGACACCACTGAAAAACAAAAGTTCAATGTATAGCATAGATAATCTTTTATAAATTGACACCAATGACACTAGTTCCTGGCTCTGCCCCTGAACACCATATCTTCCTTTTTATCAATGAAAATTATCCTTTTTAGATTTCTTTCCCTGAATAAAAACAACAATGTTCCTCTGAAGAATGTTGCACTACAAAAAAACACGCTTGTAGTCACGGACGCTAGTCACGAATTTAGTCCGTGTCTAGTTAGTCACGGATCTAGTCACGTGCTAGTCACAGATTAAAAAAAAGTAGTCACGGATATGACCGTGACTACATGTCTACATCCGTGACTACAACTAGTCACAGATTGTATCCGTGACAAACCTATTCTGGCCAACCCAAATGTGTCTCTGGCGTGTTATTTTTTAAATTTGAAATTAGTCACGGACAAATTCGTGACTGATTCCGTGACTAAACTTAAACCTAAATCTTCGTTGTCTTTCTGGCGGGTTTTTTTCAAACTAGGACTTGGTCACTGATTATTCCGTGACTAATTCTGTGACAACATCCAAAATTAAATTTTTCAACGCTCCAAAGTTAATATGTACTGGTAATTTGTACGAATTTACGTAGTCACGGACACCTCTATGACTACGTCCGTGATTAATTATTTTATATATGCAGCAACAGATTCATCCAACAGAACCACACAAACTGTTTGAAAGATTGAATTGAAGGATGTAATCTAGTCATCTTATATCATTTTCCCTGTTTATGCAGATAAGGTATGTAATTTGAATTACGTTTTTTGTATGAATTAGTTGGTTCGTTTTAAGTGTAATAAACTCTTAAATTAGAGAAATTATTAAATAAGTAACGAATTATGTATATTTCATTTAATTTAGTGAAAAATTAATTAGTTAAACGTAGGTTTAATCGTAGTGACGCATTAAGTTAAATTAATTAATTAGCTAAATTAGTTAAATTTTTGTTAATATTAGTTAAATTTAAACTAAATGCATTTCAAAAAGGTTGTTAATTAATTAATTAACGAAATAAATTGATTAAAATTAGTTAAAAGTAGGTGTAATGTAAACACAGGGTTAATTAAGTTGTATTTAATTAAAATTACGTAAATTAGTTAAATTATAGATGATATCAGTTAAATGTAAGTATTATTTAATACAAATGAGTTTATATATGCTTAAATATAATTATAGGATTTGTTTATTAGCAATAATTGTTAATGCCTAATTTAGGATTTATAATGATTTAAATTAGGGTTAGTTAATTGAAACATTACCTAAGTGTGATTAATTATTATTGTGAATTACATAAATTAGTTAATTTTTTTATAATATTAGTTAAATTTAAGTATTATTTAATTCAAATGAGTTTATATATATATGCTCAAATTATTGGATTTGCTCATATTATTTAATTTAGTGAATTGTTAAATGTGTATTATTAATAAGATTAAGATGTTGATAATTTTAGTATTGTGGATTAAATGTCATTAACGTATTGTTTCTAGTTTAATAATATTAATTGGACGTTAGTTAATTTTAGGGAATCTTAGTAAAATTTAATATATAAATGTTCCTACACATAAAAAATTATTGTTAATGTTTATGAATTAATTAATGCCATTAACGTAATAATTTAGTGTATTTAGTGTTGAAATCATGATATTGGTTATTAGTTAATAGATGAAATGATTAATGACATTATATTAACATATTAGTTCTAGTGAATTAATTGCATTAAACTTTAATTAGTGAAATTTAATATATTAATAATACTCCACATATGTTGGTAATGTTTATAATTCAGAGTTTTTAACCTGTATATTTTTTTTATTATAATATTCAGGCATAATGTATTGACAAAATAGATTTTGGATGTATGGTAAACATTCAGTATTGTACGGAATGCAATCAAATTTTCTTGAAGGAGTTGGTGAGTTTATTACATTCACACTTGAACACCCGGATTATATGAATAGTGATAAAATCAGATGTCCATGTTCAAAGTGTAAAAAACTCAAATTTAAACACCCAGACGAAGTTGAGTGGGTTTTGTACGCGGGTGGTTTCGTTCTCAATTATTATAATTGAACTTCCCATGGCGAACTTTTGGATTCATCTGTTTTACCACAAACGGTAGGTTTGTCTCGTAACGTCCCTGCATAGATGAGTGCGTGGGGGACCTTGCTGAAATGAGATGAGAGCAACGTGTGGTATATGACGCATACGGTGCATCGATGTCTCAGTTCAATTCCTCACAACCATCTAACGATCCTGTTGAAGCCTCGACCTCGTATCAACCAGATGAGGATGAAAATTTGATATTTTATCAACCTTATGTGGATGAAGGTTTAGCTAAGAGATTTCAAGATGTTTTAAAAGCTGCCGATCAACCCCTGTATGCTGATTGTGGGGGATATTCTCAACTATCCGCCGTTACAGAGTTTATGAACATAAAAGTTGAATATAGTCTCCCTGAAACTTGCATGACTAGAGTCTTGCAGTCAGTAGGTTAGATGCTATCACGCGATCATATCCCTGAAACATTTAATGTCTTAGTTTGGGCTACATTGTATAGAAATTGATGCGTGTCCAGAAAAATGTATGTTGTTCTGAAAGGATGATGAGGCACTTGAATTCTGCAAGTTCTGTTGTGGAAACAGATACAAACTTGTTCCTCAAACTAAAAACAAACCACGAAATAGGTCAGCATTATCTAAACTGTATTACCTCCCTATAGCTCCATGACTTCAGAGGATGTACGCTTCGACTGCAACTGCGAAACACATGACATGACATGTCGAGCATGAAACCAAAGAGGATATGATGTCTCACCTTTGGGACTGTGAAGCTTGGAGACACTTTGATCGTTGTCATCCTCAATTTGCAATGGAGTCGCGAAATGTGCGACTGGGATTGTGTTCAGACGTATTTGCTCCATTTGGAAGGTTTGGGAAGAACTATTCATGTTGGCCGGTCATGTTAACTCTTTACCATCTTCCTCCCAACATGTGCATGAAAAGTCACTTTATCTTTTTGACTTTAAATTGTCCGGATCCCAATGATCCAGGAAAAAAGATAGATATTTATCTCCGACCTCTATCGAGGAGATGAAACAATTTTGGGCCATTGGGACACCAACTAATGATGTTTTAAGAGATTAAAATTTTATCATGAAAGCTGCCATCATTTGAACCATTAATGACTTCCCTGCATATGACGTGCTTTCGGGGTGGAGCACACACGGTCTTATGAGATGTCCAATATGCATGGAGAAATCAGGTGTCAATCGGCTAACTTTCAGTAAAAAATCAAGTTACTTTAATTGTCATCGCAAATTTCTCCCGGAAAATCACCGATATCGAAAGGCCAAAAAATCTTTCATTAGAGGTAGAGTGGTACGAGACACCCCACCCCCGAGATTGACCGGGGAAGCAATTTTTAACCGGATTTGATGTATTTTTACGGCTGTGCAAGAGCCAAAAAAGAAGTCATATGGGTTTTGTGATACCCATAAGTGGACTAAGAGGAGTATATTTTGGGAGTTACCATATTGGAAAGACCTTCTCATTCGTCAAATTATAGATGTCATGCACACTGAGAAGAACATGTTTGAAAATATATTTTACACAGTGATTGATTTCAAAGACAAAACTAAAGACGGACTTGCATATAGAAAAGATATGAATATTTGGTATGCCAGACCCGAACTTTCTGTTGATCTAGAATATCAGGGTAACAATATTTCAAAAGCAGTCTACCAATTCACAAAAGCACAAAATGAATCAATATTACAATGACTTGTGTCTCTGAAGTTTCCAGATGACTACTGTTCCAACTTGTCCAGATGCATGGACATGAACAAACTTACAACGACGTCGAGCATGAAAACTCACGATGCTCATGTAATCACGCAAAGACTTCTCCCAATTGCACTGAAAGAGATGCTTTCTGAACACTAGGGTAAATAGAGACGCACAGAAATATCCTCAGATGATATCAATGATTTAAGCACAGAAACTAATTCACAAATCGAATCTAAGTAATAAACATCAAGAGCAAACAATTATCAGCTAAATCCAATGAAAACTCAAAAAACGGCATGAACAGTAGTTACGCGTTTCTTGCTCTCATGACTGAGGTTTTGGACATCGTTTGTCCGTCTAAATTCAAATCACAGACAGACGTAGTAAAATCCACTCAAGAACAACACCATACGACTGATTCGAACTCAATAAACCTCAGAATCGAGCGCATGCCATGGTCAAATGGAAGAACTCGGACGCGTAACCCAGGAGAGAATCAGCTCTCAACTTCTCAATCTCTCTGTTAGTATCATTATCATGGAGCCCTGGTGCCTACGCCAAAGTTTGGCGGTCATATGTGATAAAAGGTTACACCTATCACACAGTCAATTACGGACAGAGCCGACCAACAGTGAACAACGGGTTATGTATTCCAACCATCGATTATGATAACTCGGGAACCATTTTTTTTGGTGTCTTGCATGAGATTCTCGAATTTGAAATGTCTTCTGCTGGGAAAAATTTGACATGCATTTTGTTCTGCTGCAAATAGGTCGATCCAACACGTGTTGTGAGAAAATATTCAAAGTATAATATGATTGACGTCAACTACTCTCGCGTGTATAAGAAAATGAGTCTTTTATATTTTCTCAATAAGCAGCCCAGGTTTATTATGCAGAATACCCTTCAACAAGGCTAACACAGAATCCTTGGGTGTGTTCATGTACTGTCCGTCCGAGCAAAATTGTATCACAAACTCAACACAAGGACGTTGATTAATTGATTTAGATGGTTTTCAGCAACAATTTTGTCAACTTCCGCCCATTGTTGAGACGGTCAACCATCACATTCAGTTAAGTGATCCAAATGCCAGAAGTGTTGAAGTAATGCCAGAAACGCATATTTCAGACCTAACACCTCTATCTAAGCGTGAAATTGTTCAAATGCTTGAAGAACAACAAAATGCTCAATATCAGGAAGAAGGAGAATGGATAGACGGTTCTGATACAGAAGAAGATGTTGTATATGTAGAAAATAATGATTCTGATAGTGACTAATTGTGTTGTTGTAATTACAATTTTTTTGACTTCGAATATTTGTGCTGTTTTCTTCATCATTATATTACTCAAACAATATTTAATTTTTTTCTTCATCATTATTATTTGTGAAATAATAATTACTCCATATTAATTCATATAAACAAATTTATTTATCAAATTTAAAAGATAAGTACGAAACACACAATTTATTAATCACAATCAACTAACTAACATTATTCATTTATTATAAGCAAACAAACAAATACAAAATTATTCATCAATGTCAAAACTTTCAAGAGGCCTAGCCCACAACTCGCTAATTTTCCTTTGAGCTTCTTCGTTGATCGGGTCCATATACTCCGAACATTCTTCTGTACGTAGAAGCATCCCACACAACTTTTTTGCTTTTGACTTGCCGATTGAGTCGGATTTCTCATCTTTATAGTCGCTAAAACTTTCAAGGGGTCTAGTCATCAATTCCCTGATTCTCTGCCACGCTTCAACGGTTTTCGGCTCCATAAGCTGTGTAATTAGCTTAAGTCGTTTCATACCTCTACACATCGAATCTCAGTCAATTGGTTCTCGATTAGCCATTTTATTTTCCACACAAACATTGGACCGGACATCACTTATTTATACAAAAAAAGTCACGAATCAGTCGGTGACAAATTGATTTTATTCCCTGTCATCGGCC